ACACTACGGAAGGTGACGACTCTACGCCCCAACACCATGGAAGGTGACGACTGTACGCCATGACCACCATGGCAGGTGACAACTCTACGCCACGGAAAGTCTGCCGCCGCCACCGGTAACACAGTGCCCCTTCGGACACCACCGTATCAGCGGCTTCCTCTGTATACCACCGTATCAGCGGCTTCCTCTGGACATTACTGTATCAGCGGTCTCTTCTGGGCATCACCGTACCAGCGGCTTCCTCTGCATATCACCGTATCAGTGGCTTCCTCCGTATACCGCCGTATCAGCGGCTTCCTCTGTATATCACCGTATCAGCGGCTTCCTCCGCATATCACCGTATCAGTGGCTTCCTCCGTATACCGCCGTATACAGCGGCTTCCTCCGCACACCACTGCATCAGCGGTCTCTTCTGGACATCACCGAATTCGCCGTTGGCTCCGCCGCGGCCGCCGTGCCCAGCTCCGCCACAGGGCGCGGCTCATCGCTCCAGGCCTGCGACTGCTTAAGACAAATTCAGCCGCTACGATCCCAACCGTCGAAACTGCTCGTGAACTGCTCCCAAACGAAGAAAACCGAAAGCACACAACGCAGCGAGAACGAACAGCCCGGACGCCCAGCGTGCGTCTGGATCCTCGGTTCCGAATAGACACGTGGTTCCAACTCCAGCGTGGATCCGGGAACCTCGGCGTGCTCCGATAACCCCGGTGGCACGCATCCACCCGACCGCGCGCGCCGCCAAGTTCCCCGTGAGAATGCGTGACCCCCGGCCGTGACCTCCGGCCGTGACCCCCGGCGCGTGCGCCGAGTCCAGTCGCCAGACATGAGCGCATAACGTCGTACCGTGTCCAGCGGGCGGCCGGCTGGCGCACAGCTTGCGCCAGCGCCGCCGCTCAGAGCCTCGGGGGCGCCAACCGCGGCCGAAAGGGCGCCAAATGCGGCCAGAGGCCGCCAACACCGGCGGTGTCTACGCAAGTGACCTCACATCGGCGCTGCGTGCGCGAGTGACGCCACACCAGCGGTGTCTGCGCGAGTGACGTCACACCGGCGGTGTCTGCGCGACTGACGCACGGCGGCCGTGCCGGGGGTCGGCGGCGGGGGCGGGGGAGGGGCGGGGGCGACGGACCCACCTATTTGCGAGCCGTCCTCCCCCAGCCGGTGCGACGGGCCGGGCAGCGGTGGCACTGAAACACGGCGTTTCGGCGTCAGCGTGCGGCGGGCAGGGCCGGCGCGGAGCCGGGCCAATACCACGTCGCGGACACCCGTGGAGACGACACGCACGCACAACCGTGACGTGTATGCATCTGTCACACGTCGTGCTTCAAATCTGGTACAGATCTACGTATCACCTGCTTACGCAACCGCGTTTAACGCACCGATCAAGGGTGCGCATGCGCGCTGTGTTTCCAACGATGACTGTCTCTCAAGTCTTCTGATCACTGAAACGTTAAAAATGTCGCGTACGACTGTCCGCGTATCAACAACAATCACGTCACGTGTATTACGGGCACAAACAAACCTTCTTCCGCTGTAGTTGTGATGATGATGATGATGATTTGGGGTTTTAGGGCGCATCAACTGCTATAGGTGTAATGATGTCTTGATAACTGTGCTGCGCCAAAACATATCCCAGCCGGCGCCCTAACGCTGGTCAGCATCATGCCCCCCCCCCCTCATCCCCACCACCACCACTAACCCATTACCCATTGGGGGGGGGGGGGGGGAGGGAGTTAGGGCGCATCGACTGCTGCAGGTCATGCAGCTCCCCTTTACCCATCGTTCATATTTCACAAACGTCACCTCACATTAGCATCACATTATCACCAACTTCCTCACCAACCATTCCCATCCCACAAACTCCTCACTCGCTATCATCACATTATCGCCCACTCACCGGGATGCACGGCGTCGGCGGCCATGTCTAGCGAGTGGTCCGACCCGTCATAGCCGCCCTCGTACTCCGCCACGTGGCACAGCGTCGAGTCGAGGCTGAGCTCCTCCAGGTCGTCGTCCTCGGTCAGGTCGATCTTCTCCACCTTTACGGCCGGCTCCGGGCGCGGTTCGGGCGGCGGCGGCGCCGCCGCCGCCGCGGCCACCACCGGCACCGGCGACGGAGCGGCGCGAGGCGGAGGAGGCGGTGGCGGTGGCGGCGGCGGTGGCGGTGGCGGTGGCGGCGGCGGTTGCAGCGGCGGTGGCGGCGGCTGCAACGGTGGCCGCTCGATGGCGGTCGGCGACGCCGGCGGTCGGACGGGGGCCTCGCCGCTCGACACGCGTCGCCGCTTGGCGGCCGGGCTGGCCGCGCCCGCCGGCGGACGTGGCGCCGACTGGCGGCCGGCGGCCGAGTTAGTCGTTGACCAGGCCGCCCACTGGCGTCCCCCGTTGCATAGTGGGAGTCAACGGGCGTCGCACTACGCGGCGCTCACGTGATGACGTCATAGGGACAAGACAAGGTGCAACAGTTTACACCAGACAGAACGGACATCTACTGACATCATAAGAATGGGCTCATATAAAACCAATAACATGGATCAGGCACTCCAAACAATAGGTGAGAAGTTAACTGGAATGGAGTCCACATGCCAATGACGGCTGGAATTTTCAAAGTCCTCCCTGCAGTACAAAAATCAGCCTTTACATGATAACTCATAACAAATGTCCTCACGACCTATACTAGACATGCCTGATATAGATGGACAAACATCATGATAAATTTTGACCCAAAAGGCCACACCTCTTTTGCCCAGCCTCAAGGTGGCAGATCAATGCCCACCTTGTCATCATCGCCACTGAGACCCCTGATCTGCAGCATTTCCGCCGTCTTGATGAAGCTGGCCAGCTGGCTCTGGGCCACGTTCACACTGCCCTTGTACATGAACTCGATGATGGCCAGTAGGTCGGCGGCCGACGTGTCCTTCAGGAAGATTACCATCTGCTGACAGGGGTTGTTCTGCAACGGAGAAACCGGTGTTTTTAAGGACACTGCAGGATGCTTCCATATGTACGCATCCATATGAACACACCTGTTACACACATATGCACAAGCATACCCAACGAACACACACACAATATATATATATATATATATATATATATATATATATATATATATAGATAGATAGATAGATAGATAGATAGATAGATAGATAGATAGATAGATAGATAGATAGATAGATAGATATGCATAATTACACAGCACAGCTTATTCTGTGAGCCACTTCCCTTTAGTTAAAAGTGGTGCATAAATATAAGTATATAAATATAAGTAAATGTCATGTGCAACTATCACATAGGTTTGCTTGGAATGAATGTACCAAAAGCGTGGTTGAGAAAGGTACTCAGATACCCAGGTTTGCCAGGAGAGCATGGGGTAAGTGTCCAAGAAATGCAAAAGAAACTACGATTTATTGGTCTGGCAAGTGTTGAAACGTGTGTGTTGTGTATGGGACCCAATGCCAGACTTAGTCAGCTTAGGCTGCCAAGCTCAGTCCAACAACAGCTTAGTCCATAGCGTAGAAACGGTTCAGACAGGGGCAGGGCCGATTCGAGTTTGGGCAGACATGATAGGCAAGAAAGTGGGAGTGATACGCTCGTTGAGCTGCGCCGGACACCGCTGGAACATGGACGAAAGCAGGTCAGGCTCGCGCAACAATTAAAATTGCATAATGGACATAACAATGTTAATGGTAAAAGTACCCTTGTTAGACCGAACCATGTCGGGTAGAGGAGTCATTAAAAAAGATCCGCTTAGTGCAGTCTTGTCATTTCATTGTCATTCCACATTTTTTCCTTAAACGATTCAAGATTGAAAGCCGGTGGATTTTAATGTGATGTCTGAATGTAAGACAGTAGAGCAGTTTAAGAATATGTTCTCTGCCACTTCACCATGATACAAGCACTATTAACCCTCAGTTGTTCAGAGCCAGTGGGGGGAGGGTGTGGTAAGAGTGACGGTATAATGCAAACTGCTGAAGTGGCAGTCTACGAGTGTGGGAACGAGTTATCAGAGTTTCTTACAGACTGCTGGCCAAGAAACGCTCAATTTCTAGGATACCAAGGCAAGTTCATCACACATGCACCCACAGCACAGGTTTCCACTACTCACTTTTCCACTATTCATATACCTCCCTCACATAGAGCATGTTCCCAAGGTGATGGGCCTCTCAAACTCTCTGTATCTAACACTCAGCATAAGATAAGCGCTATATCACCACACAGTTCAGCCCGATGCGGACAGAAGGGCAGGGGGTGGAGGATGGTAAAACCGGCATTGCGTTGTGGGATTGTCAGCCTGTTAAACAGAGTAATTCACATTTCTATGGGGTTTTGAACTGAAATAGCCTTCTTGAAGATCATTCAGTGCAGTTCAGAGTCGTGACCTTCTTAAGACCCAAACCTCTCTAGTTTCCCCACTATACGCCCGCGAAGACGGGGAGACTTTTCGGGACAGCACCTCAAGGTCACCTTCGCATTCATGACATGAGGATGCTATTCAAATCCTGCCATTCCACAAGCTATGTGGCAACCAAGGCCAAGAAAAAAACACGGTCGAGCTATTCATATCTGGCACACATGAGCATGCTTTCGAGACATAACGGCCGTCAATTGGCTCAATCAGTGTTTTGCAACGTATGGTGACATAATCGAACGATGATATATTGAGGAGCATATTTACTAAGCAGAGCAATTATGCTGCCTTGGGCAGTCTCTTCGAAAGTGTGTACATATCTATAAATGAGCTTGTTTCATCATATCTGACGTTTCCTACAATATCTTCGAATGTGAAACGTTTCATTTCAGTGATCATAGGCTCAGGAGAAAGTGACATCCAGCTTCTGCTATCACAACATAATCTTTCACGTGAGAACAAGGAAGTTGCATTTAACAATCCAGGGAAACAGAATAAGCCATACACAGAGCCAAATTGATCGGCGTCACACCATGTATCCAGCTGCTCCTGATCCCGTACCTTGAGCAGGTCCCTGAAGTAGGGGCTGCAGGCGGACAGCATCATCCGGTGCGCGCGCACCCGCTGGCCCTCGCAGCAGAGCGTGATGTCCACCAGCTCCTCCTCGTGACGCAGGCAGTCGAACAGTGACGTCACGCTGTCCTGGAAGCTGTCCCACTTGAGGCAGAACTTCTGGCCATCACCAGCTGCCTGTCAGCACAGAGAGTGGCAGTCAGACACATGCCAATATGTCCCACTTGAGGCAGAACTTCTGGCCATCACCAGCTGCCTGTCAGCACAGAGAGTGGCAGTCAGACACATGCCAATATGTCCCACTTGAGGCAGAACTTCTGGCTATCACCAGCTGCCTGTCAGCACAGAGAGTGGCAGTCAGACACATGGCCAATATGTCCCCACTTGAGGCAGAACTTCTGGCCATCACCACTGCCTGTCAGCACAGAGAGTGCGTCCAGACACATGCCAATATGTCCCACTTGAGGCAAACTTCTGGCCATCACCAGCTGCCTGTCAGTACAGAGAGTAGGCAGTCAGGACACATGCCATATATCCCACTTGAAGGTCAGAACTTCTGGCTATCACCAGCTGGCCTGTCAGCACAGAGAGTGGGCAGTCAGACACATGCCAATATGTCCCACTTGGTGCAGAGCTTCTGGCCATCATCAGCTGCCTGGCAGCACAGAGAGTGGCAGTCAGACACATGCCAATATGTCCTTCTATCATAGCTGTCAGCTGACAGGGTCTCTTTCCAGGGCAACCAGGAGCACAAACCTTTCAATAGTCTGGGTAGGAGTCAATTTGCTCCCCTCCCCCCAGTGTCGGAAAACTTGACGTTTCCTGGTATAATGTATATCAGTAGATTGTACTTCAGGATTGTGACTAGGTAAAATCAGATATTTTGTACTCCATCATGATGTAACAAGCACAGCTTTTGGAAAAACTCACTTTACCTCCTTGTGTCAGGACAAAATAAAACCAGAAGGTGCAACAGCCTGAGACTTGCAGTTTCCATCAGGAGCCATGTATTGATATCTGCAAGAGCACAAATCTTGCACCCACCAAACTAAGATGCCGAAAGCAAGCAGCCTGTGTTGCCGCCTAGGTATATGATAAATCATGCATGGAAATGTGAAAAAGCATGCGAATGTTGAATGGAATCACCTCTGAACAATACTGGGAAACGAGAAACGAGTACCAGAATCGCACCGGTCTGTAGATTAGCAAAGCTCTCGCTTCCTATGCCCCACGCAGACCTACTCAAACTTGAACATGACATAACCCTCCATTGACGACAACCCGCATTAATAGCCCAGGATGCAACGAACATTCATAGAAACCGCACGCCCAATCACCTACCGCAGACCTCCGCCTACCCACGCGCTACCACGGTGTCATGGCAACGCAAATAAGACAATCACTCGCAATTCAGCGTCGGAAACGTCTCGAATATTCAGCGGCTTGCGCCCGCCTCCCAGCTCAGGTTGGAGGTCGAACATAGAAAAACTCTCCACTTGCTTTAATGATTCGCCTCTTCGTGACTGATTTGTCAATGGCATAAATACTCTGCTCGCGCTCATGCCTTGAACAGACTTGTAAACATTTGGAGGGAAGCTGTATAGAGATGGGCATCACGATCATGAAGAAAGACTTATTTGTACTCATCCAGAACCGCCATGTGGTTGGATTTTTGGCCACTTCCTGGTATCCGGAGTACAAAAATGTGACGGCAGCTGTGGATCTAAGCCAAGTTAAATTTGTCGCTTAAGGGTGTGGAATTAAAGCTGGTGATTCAGGCTTTACCAAAATACCCTTTAAAGTTCGAAAAACATTGCTATAAATAGCCAAAAAACTGTCCGGAGACAGCCACCTCACTCCCGCAAAAACACCAGGACCACGGGTAACATGAACCCTAACTTTGGCCCCGCAAATTAAGGAAAGGGGTTTATTAGGACAACAACATCAATTAATTGCAACATAAGTTGTCATATTTCGGAATGGTATCGGTTAAAGCGATTCAAAATCCATAAATACCTTGCATTATCCGCCGGAGTCAGCGGAGTGACTGACTCCGATCCCTTTTCGCCGGCCTGCACGGGTCTGTCAGGAATTGTACTTAAGCTGGCCCAGTAAATTGGTCAAGAGTGCTGTTTGTCTCTATTGTCTGGGTGGGATGTACAGGGCCTCGTGTGTTGACCGGCAGTGGGAAGGTGGAGGGCATCAATGTTTAGCTGTTTTTAAAACCAGCTAGCTGGTGGAGCGTGAGTAGCGTGACCGTGGTGGAGCGTGAGTAGCGTGATCGTGGTGGAGCATGCGTAGGTGGCCGTTTGTCGCATGTTCATTCGCATTTTTTTTTGTACAATTTTTGTCTGGCTGTGCTTACCGTACCCCACCCACTCCGTTTTGAAGGGTGTCTACGCCCGTTGTCTAGCCACCCTCCATTTCGGAGTGTAAAATCCCGATGCGTAATTACCCTCCGTTCTGGAGGGTGTATACACAGAGCCTTTCATAAATTGCAAACCAATGTATATGCACATGTGTTTCATAGTACAGAGTATGAGACTGTGTTATCTCAGTGCGCCATGTTTAATACTGATTTTTTCTTCCATTTACAGTGCTTTACACGAATTGCTGCATATGAAAAGTGGCGCTTTTGTTGAGTGCCACCCATTGCATCAGTATTTCTCAAAGAAAACCTAAATAAAGCTGCAATGACCCGCAGCACCCAGATAATTTTGTACACCACCATAGAAAATTTGTACCCCACTACCAGGAAAAATTTTTGAATTTCTAACACTGCTCCCCCCCCAAAGGTTAACGGCGCGGCGTAACGGGATAAAAAAGTTTGCGTAGTTGTAAGCCACCGAACGGCCGATTGTTTGGTATTGAAAATTTAGGTGTATCTTGCAAGGTCACTGACCTATGGCAGATCAGTCAGGCCATAGATTCAGCAATCAGTTTCTAGGGAATCATTCTATCTGATGCAACAGCAGATTGCTAGATGAAGCTATACATATCTGATATATTTTCTTAAGCAACACAACAACTGAATGAACAAACTTCATTGACCTAAGGTCAGGTACAAAAGCCAGACCAAGGTCAAAACTAACTTGCTTTATTACTACAGGGTCTGCTGTATGAGGCAGTTTCTGGTGCCCATTTTGAATTTATTGATCACAGGAACCAAATCATACATCTTTCCTAGATCTCTTAAAGGACATCATAAGTCACTGACCTAAAATTAGCCAGGTCAACATTTTGCTTGCAGGAACATAATGTCTAGTGTAATCATTGTCACTTATCCAAGTGCAAAACTCAGAGCATTCTTACAGGATTCTGGGTGTTGTAACCTTGCAAAGGTCAAGCAGTCACTGACCTTAACTGAGCACGTGAAATTTTGCTTAGAATTGGTATCTAGATTCTGTGTGCACTCTGGAGACCAACCTGGAGTTTGAACTTGCTTGACCTTAGTTGACATGAAGGTCATGACTTAGGAACCTCAAACTTTGACCTCAGTAAGTTTGCATAGCAGGCCAATACACCCTGTGAATTTGGTGTCTCTAGCTCTCTTAGTTCTTGAGATCCTTGACAGGTCAAATTGACCCCACCCCAACTGTGTGAAAGGTATCCAACCGACCACCCAGGCGCTTGCTAAGAGAGCTGAAAAAGATGTGAATTCTCCTGAGCGTGTGGACAAAAACTAACAAAATGTGGTCCAGCAAGTAAATCAGTGTCATTGGTCACCATGTTAAACAGCAAATTCACTTATGGAGAGCATGTTGTTCACTCACTTGTTGCAGAACCTGCCTAACATTTGCAGCTTGAGGGACCCAAGCTAAAGATGTGTTTGACCTGCAGTATGCATTGAAGAACACACATTATGCATACAGGACACAAAGATTATAAGCGCCTTCTTATGCTGCATGCATCTACATATACAACTATGTTTGTATCATTTGTAGGCCTGAGTCAGACCAGACCAGACCTGGACTCAAATTATCAGATCATTCTCTTAACCAGATATCTATCACATCAGATCATTCTAACTAAACCTTGATTTACAATCAAAATTAATAACAAAAAAACACATCTGTACACTTAGAAAGTACCCCCTAAATTCATCTTCCCATTTCTTAGGTGTAGACAGGAATATTGTGCTTAGGTAGGTGTACCCTGCACAGCATGGTTTACAGAGAACATATGGCATTGCCAGTTACATTTGAAAGCTGCTTTTGGTCGAGTTTTCCAGCCCTGGATTGGGGAAAAACCTGGTGAAGCATTCCATTGCTGCATCATGGCAACTTTCATTAACCTCAAGAAAATGGTTCTAATGCAAAGTGTCTAAGAAATGGTAGGTTCCTTTCATACCAGGGTCCTGAAAGGTGCAATAGAGTAATCAAAAACTTTAATTCACTAGTCATGGGTTGTTTAACCTTAACAGCTGTCATATACATTAAAAACTGACTTTCCCTGTTGTTATTTAGGTTGCCTGTTCATTAGCACAATGACATCTTCACAAGATGGATTGCACATTTTGCTCTCAATCACCAACAGATGAACCTTTTTTTAAACACTCCCACCAACCTTGTGCTGCACACTTCAAGCTTATACAGTGAGCAATATTTTTTTTCCTTATGTGCACACAATGTCCACAATAATAAGCACTGTGCAGCAAGTGGGACACCAAAAGCACACAAAACATCATAGGTTTGGGATAGGGATGAATATGATTGTACATCGATACAAATTTGAGTCACTGCACCGCACAACAACCGACGCGTACCATTTCCAAACAACAAACCCATCGTCCACTCACCATGATCGTGTTTTCACTTCTGTTGGCCGGCACGAGCGGCGCTCACGCCCTCCACTCCTCCCCTTCCTGACCGCGGGCACGCACTCCACCCGCGAACGACGCGTAATGATATCTATAGCCTGACAATGAACCAACTCCGAGTGTCCAAAACTAAAAGTGGTGCAAGCACGTACGCTTGAAATGCCGGTGGATGACAGAGTTTATTACATACGGCGCGCACCCACACATATGGCTAATACTCCATGTGGACAACTTTCCAACGGCTTGAGAATTCGCGATGGGAGAAAGTTCCGTCATGCAAGGTTCAAATAAACTACCTAATTTCTCGAGCCAACGTTGTTGACACACCATGACGTCACTGGTAACAGATCGTTACCGAACTGCCGTGTTGGAAGAGCTGGGAGTGCAAAAATGCAGCCAACAGCAGGCATCGAACGACTGGGATATCTTAAGAATTTTATCTATGAGCAAGTTCTAGCCAGGTCCGTGGACACCCGTGGTC